AATTATTTCAAAATGAATGATAATAATGACATGAGCTACCAAAAACTCTGGTATACAGTAAAAGCAGTGCTAAGGGGGGAGTGTATACTAACTACAAAAAGACAGAAAGCTCACAAATTAACAAGAAAAACAAGAGAAAACCAAATCCAAAGCGAGACAAAAAGAAAGATCAGAGCAAAATTAAATGAAATTGAAACCAAATAAACAAACTAAAAATGAAGTAAAAAGTTGAATCATTGAAAAGATAAATGAAATTGATAAACCTCTAGCTGGATTAACCAAGAAAAGAGAGAATTCAAATAAGCACAATCAGAAACTTAAAAGGAAGAATTACAATTGACACCACAGAAATACAAATGATCATCCCAAACTACTCTGAACACATCTACACACAGAGACTAGAAAATCTAGAGGAAATGGATGAATTCCTAGAAACATACAAATTTCCAGATTGAACCAGGAATAAATAGAAATCCTGAATAGACTAATAATGAGTAGCAAGATTGAATCAGTGATAAAAAGTCTCCCAACTAAAAAAAGCCCAGAACTAGATGGATCCATAGCTGAATTCCACCAAATTACAGAGAAAAATCCTACGGGCACTATCCCAAAAGATGAAGACAGAGGGGAGCTTTCCTAACTCATTCCATGGAGCCAGTATCACCCTGATATCAAAACCAGGAAATGACAATAAAAAGGAAAAATTACAAACCCATATCCTTGATGAACACAGATGCAAAAATTCCCCCAAATCCTAGCAAACAATTCAAAAGCTTAAGATAATTCACCACAATCAAGTGGGTTTCATTCTGGGGATGCAAACATGCACAAATCAATAAATGAGACTCACCATATAAACAGAATTAAAAACAAAAACCATATGATCATCTCAACAGATGCCAAAAAAGCATTTGACAAAATCCAACATCCTTTCATGATAAAACCCTCAACAAAGCAGGCATAGAATGAACATACCTCAAAATAATAAAAGCCATACATGATAAACCCACAGCCAACATCATACTAAATGAGGAAAAGCTGAAAGTATTCCCCCTAAGAACTGGAACAAGACAAGGATGTCCATTTTCACCACTTCAATTTATATGGTACTGGAAGTCCTAGCCATAGTAATCAGGCAAGAAAAAGTAATAAAAGGTATCCAAACTGGAAAAGAGGAAGTCAGGGTGTCTGTTGGCCCATAATATGATCTTATACCTAGAAAACTCTAAAGATTTCCCAAAAAAAAATTCTATAATTGATAAATGAAATCAATAAAGTCTCAGGTCACAAAATCAACATATACAAATCAGTAGAATTTCTATATAGTAATAAATAAATACACTAAGCTGAGAATCAAATTAAAAACTCAGTTCCCTTTACAATACCTGCAAAAAAATAAATGAATAAAATACCTAGGAAGATACTTAACCAATGAGGTGAAAAATCTCTACAAGTAGAACTAGAAAACACTGATGAAAGAAATAATTCCTCAAGGATTGGAGGAATAAATATCGTTAAAACATCCATATTCCCCAAAATAAGCTACAGATTCAATGAAACTCCCATCAAAATATCAATGTTGTATTTCACAGATCTAGAAAAAATAATTATGTGCTTTTCTTCGCTTATCACCAAAAAGGAGCTTGAATAGCCAAAGCAATTCTAAGAGAACAAATCTGGAGGTATCACTTATCCTACTTCAAATTATACTACAAAACTATAGTAATCAAAATAGCATGGTACTGGGTGGTGCCTGTGCCTCAAAGGAATAGGGCACTGGCCCTATATACTGGAGGTGGTGGGCTCAAACCCAGCCCTGGCCAAAAACTGCAAAAAAAAAAAAAAGTAGCATGGTACTGGTATAAAAGTAGACACATAAGCCAATGGAATAGAACAGAAAACTCACATACAAATTCAAATACCTTCAATTAACTGATCTCTGATAAAGCGGACCCAAATATATTCATGCACTAGGGAGGAAGCCCTATTCAATAAATTGTGCTAGGAAAATTGGATAACCAATTCTTGGATATCCAAGAAAATTGGATAATCATTCTTTCTGGAAGAATGAAACAGAATCCCTGCCTCTCACCATATACAAAAATTAACTGAAAATGGATTAAAAAAACATAAATGGGAGGTATGAAACCATTAAAATTCTAGAAGGAAATGTAGGGGAAACTCTTCTAGACATCAGGCTAAGGAAAGAATTGATGATTAAGACTCCAAAAGCAAATATAGTGCAAACAAAATTAATAAATAGTACTTAATTAAACTAAAAATCTTCTGTACAACAAAAGAAATAATCAATGGAGTAAATACACAATTTACAAAATAAGAGAAATTATTTGCTAGCTATACATCTGATAAAGGGCTAAGATCCAGAATCTGCAAAGAACTCAAATCACCAAGATAAAACAAACAACACCATAAAAAAGTGGGCAAAAGACATGAACAGAAGGCTTCCAAAAAAAGACAGACAAATGGCCAAGAAATATATAAGGAAAATGCTCAATATCACCACACATCAGGGAAATGCAATTAAAGCTATAAGGAGATACCACCTTACCCCTGTCAGACGGGCCATTATTAAAAAGTCAAAAACCAATAGATGCTGGTTTGAGTGCCCAGAGAAAAGGATACTTATACACTGTTAGAGAGACTTCAAATCGGCACAACCTCTATGGAGAACAGGATGGAGATTTCTCAAAGAAATAAATGTAGGCCAACCATTTGATCCAGCAATTCCACTATAGGTTATCTACCCAAAAGAAAATAAGTCCTTTTGTCAAAAAGACACCTGCAACTTAAATGTTTATTGCAGTACAATTCATAACTGCAAAGATGTTGAATCAACCTCAGTGCCCATCAACTCCTGAATGGATACAGAAAATGTGGTATCTCTAATATATATATCCTGTACATTTTATATATTATATCTATTACTTATATGTATTATTATATGTATTATAATCATATATATATATATATATATATAATGTACTTATATGTATATACCACACACACGCCCCATAGAGCACTACTCAGCCATAAAAGGAACGAAATAAAGCCTTTTGGCTGGAACAGGAGTCCATTATCTCTGTGAAGTATCTCAGGAATGGAAACCAAACACCACATGTCCCCACTCACAATTGGGAGCTAAATCATGGGCACACACAGAGACATAAAGGGCCTGAGAAACCAAGAAGGGAGGAAGCTGGGAGGAGGTGAAAGGTAAAAACTTACCTCGTGGGTACAACCAGCACTGTTCTGATGACGGCCATGCTGAAAGCCTCGACTTAAACACTATACAAGCTATCCACGTAACAAAAGGAATGTGCCCCCTTAACATTTTGGAAAAATATATATTATTATGGACTATGTCCAAATTCTAACAAAACTGCATATAAGCGCTCATATATTTTCAGTTTTTAAAAGCCTGTTACTTTCTTTGAAAGTAAAATCTCAAATAAGATTCAAAGCAAAATATTCTGTGAATAGCCAAAAGACTTCTCCAATGGAAGCCTTGGCCCACACAACACCAGTCTCATTGCCTTTGTTCCATTACCATTGGTGATCACCTAACGTTCTTGTAGTGATAACAGGTTCACAATGTTAAAATTGCATTCTGTCTGAGTTATAATAAAAAGTAATTACACCACAACAATTTCTGGGTGTAACCACCAATTGCAATTGCAATTCAGAACGTTGTCTGCACTCTGGCTGTGGCATTCTGCACTACTTCATCTAGATGCTAAGCGCAGCAGCACTCAGATGGGGATAAATAATGCCTCCCAGCACACAGCCAAGCCCAGGCTGCCTGGCAAGTTGGAGTTGAGATTATTTAGGGGAAAAGAATTCTGAGAGCCTGTGAACACAGAACAGTGAAACTGGAAACCCAGTCAGGAGTACACACTTCATGCCACTTCATGCACTATTTGGGGAACTCTAGAAACATGGCTTCTTTCCACAAAACTGAAAAGGGACACTGGCTTCCAAAGGTTTCTATCAGAACCCAGGAACCCAAGCAATGGTGTCAACAGACGCCTGATCCATCTGTTTCACAGAATTTAGAGTCTTTGCTTCTACAGTGATTAACATACCTCAAATTTTACAGTGAAACAAGTTTTTATGAAAATTAAGATAAAACAAAGATATTTTAAACATCTTAGCAGAATCCACCTTTGGGGAAAAACTATGCGTAAATCTTTGGTTAATGATAAGACTCCCCGAAATCATCTCAAACAAATCTTTGCCATAAACCTGTGCTTTCATGAGGGGTGGGTCTGGGAGGAGGTTTTGCTTTGTTTTATTTTAAATAATGACATGAATAGAGGTAACTGAGATCGATTGAAAAACTCAAAGGGAAGTTGAGAATGTTTATGACCAGTGGAGGATGCCGAGGGTTGACATGTGGGTGCCAAGCTCCCCAGAAGGACAGCCATGTATCTGATGGGGACAGGCTAGACCCTGACACAGGGCTGGAGAGCGTGGAAAGATCAGATCTCGCAGCCGTAACACAGCAAAGAGAGAGAAGACAGCAGGAGAGAATAAGGGAGAGAGACGCTGCCACCCAGGGAAAACACAAGTGTCAGATGCTATGCCAGACAAGGGGGGCCTGTGCAGCTCTCCAGGCCTCTCACAGGGCCCCATTTCATTACCACGTTGAGATGCACCAAAGGCAAAATGGCTGTGCTGAGTAGATTTGCTGTGTCTTCTGGGAACAGTTTAAAGATGCTGGACCCTGGAGGGGCTGAGGACCCACAGCACTGAGAAGCAGAGGCTGGGGGTGCACACCTACCTCTCTCCCCTTCTCTCTCTCCTTTCAAAGGAAACAAGCAGCAAGGCTTTGCTGGGTGCCATCGCCGGCTGCAGCAGCACCCCAGTCTCAGCCCTCTCTGGCCTGCTCACCAGCACACCTGCTCTGAAACCTGCCCTTCCAGACTGGGCCATCACCTGCAAAACCTGTCAACAGAAGCTAACGAAAAGATTAGACTCACCAAGATCCAAGTGAATGCCAGGGACAAAGGAATTGAGAAAGAAGGTGAAGATGACGAATCCCAACACCGTCAGGCACTTGGCGAGCAGGACCCCGTCTGATATCCTGTGCTGTAGGAGAGAAGCACACTGCTCACTGGCCCAGTTCAGCCTCCTGACCCGCAGCATGTCCATCCTCCCACATGACTTGGAGCACTACGTCTCTTTTTACAATGAAAACTATGACATCTCAAACCTGAAGGAAGGTAACACATCAGGAGGAAAACTGTACAGATTCAGAATTGCAGCTTTCAGAATCTTTATGAAAAATAAACATAAAGGTGTGAAATGAAGCACAGCCCTTTTAATAGCACTTGACTAAGCAGCTTTTCAGAACATGCAGACTGTCGAGCTGGCCCTGGCCCTGCCCAGCACTAGATGAGGAGACACATGCATTCGTTGCTGAACATCACCAGTCACCAGATGGCCCAGAGGAGCACTTTGGAGGTGACCAAAGCGACATTCAGAATAAGGTGTGCAACACTTCTCCTAGGTAGCTTTGTGGACTCAGTTGCCTGAGCTTCATATCTCTGTGATCACAGAAACCCATAGATCTATAGAAACCCGAACACACCTCTGTATAACCACAGGTCACCTTATCTGGCTCAGCTGAGACACAGCAGCAGGACAGCCAGTGAAAGATGTTCCCTCTTGGTTCCTCCAGCCACACCATTAGAGCTGCTTCCACCAAAACCATAAACATAACCAAGCATGTCACTCAACCACCCTGCAGGACCAGCTGCTGGGTGCCCACCCTCCTTCCTGCCCCCTACGAAGGCTCTACACATCTTCCCCTGTCCATGTCCAGGGAAAGCTGATTTTGCTGCTTAATTCTGTCTGGAGAATCAGGAGCAAAAGGTCATGGCTGGAACAAACTGAAGTGCTCAGAAGACAGCGATGGAGCTTCTTGCCAGTTGCCAGGGGGACACCAAAAACCTTCCTGGGGTCACATGAACCTAGAAAGTGGGTGCTGCCACAGCCAGCTCAAAAGCCAAAAGCAGAGAGCAGGCAGTCAAGTAGTGTTCCAGCATCACTCGGCTGCAGCATGTGGAGGCTTCTTTGGGGTGTCCATTAGAGTTGCTCCTTTCAGCTCTCCAGGGTCATTTCCCAGACATAATAAAGGGACACATCCAAGCCCACACCTCTGCCCTCCATCTCTCCCAGTCCTCGCTCACCAGTGGCCCACAGTCCATACTCTAACTCCTGGTTAAAACAAAGCAGTCAGGGAAGGCAAGCAGGGTCTGTACAGACGTGGATCTGGAAGTGTGTGAGCAACACCCTTCCTCTCCAACGCTGCCTGTCTGTGGGGGCCAAGCTTGCAAAAGGAGCCCACAAGCCCCAGTCCTCTAAGAACACATCTCCTCCCAGGATGCCAACTGTTTAATCTCCTTCAGCAAAGGGCAGAAGCTGTAATGCAAAAGTGGATATTCAACCTCTCCCTAGAAAATAAACTACGCAGATGTGAAATTTCACCGAGATGAGGATGACTCCTGACAGATCTTGAGCCGGGCTCTCTCGGCTGAGAGGGGCCCTCAGCATCCGCAGGTGGGCTGAGCAGGTCACCAGAGCAAGAAAATGAACAAAATAAAAAAAAAAAAGTGTTCTGCCCCCAGAAGTCAGAGCCATCAGCAGCACACACACATGTCCGTGTCTGTCCCCAAAGCTGCTCGGCCCCTCACACCGCACCTCATGGGTCCCAGCTGCTGCCTCCTCTCTGCAAGACGAGAACCTGGAAACTTGCCTTTCAGGGTCAGCGAGGGCTGGCCCAGAACAGAGGCCTGTGTGTCTCACCAGGGCACACATGAAGGGCATCTCAAAGGTCATATTAAAATGTTAACTATCCAATTTCCTGACAGAATATGCCTACATGCCTGGAAAACATTTTCTCTCATTAACTCATGGAAATAAACAACATCTTGGGAACAACTACAGGAATAAAAAGAGAAAATGGTTTTCAGTTGTAACTTCATGTGAGGTAAAGCAAAGGAATCGATGCCCTCTCCTTCAGAAAGAGAGTCAGAATCCCGGGGAACGGAAACCACCATACCTTTTTTTGTAGCTCCTGGATGTTGGTCTCCCAATTTTTATCTTCTTGTGAGATCTGCCTAAAGAGAAGAGGACAGCTCATTATTTCCCCAGCATAGCCAGGTAAGGGTATGACTTGCCTTATGGACTAGGCAAGATGCCTGCTCTGGATTTCCAAAGATGAGCAATACATAACATGAACCCCACACCAGAAGACGTGTGAACAGTGCCCGTGAGCTCAGGAGTGTGGGACACGTCCAGAAGAGGCTGTGCCACCCTTCCAACAGGGGAAGCCTCTGCTGGTCCTCGTTACGTATGTTTTCTACTTTTCAGAGTTTCTTTGTTTCCAATGAGGGCACTGTCCTTTTACATTTACAACTAACTTGGACAGCTAACTAAAGAAAAACAGTAAAAGAAACGCCACTTACTTTAAAATTGATCAACTTTCAGGAATTCTCAGGTCTGTGTCCCCCTGCTGTGAGGGGTCCTCCTACACATTTAAGGCCCCTTTCCTTAGCTCCCACTTGCCCGACCTGTCTAACCCGTCCAAGTCAGCCCACCCTCTCTGGTTTCTTGTCTGCACACCAGTCAGGACAAAGTGGCCTCAGTGAGTGTCACAGGAGGTGGCCACACAGCCCTCCCAGGCCCTAAGGACACCACAGCAGACCCAGTCGAGCTCCAGACGATCTCATATTCCAGAGAATATAAGAACAAGACTGTACAGCAAGGAGCTGCCTTAGGCCGTCCTCACTCTGATCTGCTCCTCAGCAGCTGTGCGGGGAGGGAAGGCACCGTCCTCCCCAGGCCTTGGGTTCCCACCTGTGACTGACAAACATGAGCTATCGGACTTGGCGAATCTTAGCCCCAACCTACAGCCAGTGGGCACAATGCTGTGCCTTCAGCGTCACTGGGCAGAGGCAGGTCTCAGACTAGGGGGGAGGCCAATGCTGCTGTGCCCTGGACTGCGAGCTTCTCCCCACTAACAGACCAGACCTTGAGACAGCCATGCCAGGGGACCCCTAAACAGTTGCCTAGTCTCAGCAGACTGCAACATGCAAGCCACTCTCGCTTCTGATCACAGGGGGCCACATCCCCCCGCCCTGATGCACTTCACACCCACCCACTCCCCAGCCTCAATACCCCTCAGGGGCTAACAGGCTCCCACTTTTCTGGATGGAGCTGCCAGGGGCAAGACCAGTGGGAACTCACTTGTCATATCCAAGAGGAAAGACTCATCAATTCCTGTTACCCTGCAAGTCTCAACTTTGATTAAGGATGAACGCCAGGAAATGAACTGAATAGGACTTTGGTATTCTTGGGGTGCCTGAAGATTAGCTACTGGGAGGATATGCTGTCGGGTAGGTTTCCTAACTGTTCTGATCTCTGTTGTATAGTAATTGTGAGGTGGGTGAAGGGAGGCCCAGCAGCTAGAGGCATGAGCTCATTCCCCAGTGCCACTCTTTCCAAGCTGGGGAACCCTGGGCTCATTGCTCAAACTCTCTGAGCCTCTGCTGTTTGGTCCCTTAAACTGGGCTAATGCCAGCACACACCCTGCAGAGCTAAGTGAGGGTTCAATAAAACACACCAGAAGAGACCCATCGGCAGCCCCTAAAATTAGTCACTAGTGTGCAGCTAGTGTTGCTGCCTGGGGTGCCAGGGGTGCTCTGAAGAGCAATGACATCACCTCATGTCACTTGTGTATTGTGTGACATCTGGACGTCACTGGGGAGGCAGTGCGCAGGCTGCTCGTGCCATCCCACCAGCAAGCATGACCTCTAACATGAGAACCACTGCTGCAGGCAGCACAGTGTGGGCTGGACCCGCCTGGTACCTGTGGAAGGTGCGCAGCCTCCGGGCGAGCAGGTGCTCCAGCGCCAGCACCTTCCCCAGCAGCAGGCTGCGCACAGCGGTCTCCTCGCAACTGGCTGGGCTGATGCGCTGAGCCGTCAGGCGCCAGACGTGAATCTCATGCTTCAGTTCTGAGGAGAAAGGAGAGTGAATCTTGCATCTCCCGGGACCTCGAACATGAGCAACACCGCCCTCCGCTCACCACCACTCGACATGGCAGGTGCTCCTCTGATGTGCAGACAGCCCATGGGCACACACGGCCATGGCTTCTCAGCACAGAAGTGATTCTGACAGAACCAGATGACAAAGCTGACGTCTAAAACTTAACATGGAAGCAAAGTAACATGATGTCAACTCTTTGAGTGAAGAATAAATGTCTTTCTTGAACAAACACATCAGTGTCAGCTCCCAAATCCTTCAGGTCTGCTTTCAGCCAAGATCTAGATGTTGCCCAGTCTTTGAGGGATTTTAGGAGTGGATCCAGTGAACATCAGAAATACAAGGAGAGTCTCAGGAGGTGGTGTGCCGGATTCTCCACTGTGGCACCTGGTACGAGGCAGGAGATGCAGATAGCCCTCCCTCCCAATCAGCCCCCAGTGAGTTTAAGTCTACGACATGGGACAGACAGACGTAGACAACCTGATGAAACTCCAAAATCAACAGAATAAGTGGAATTTTCACCCACCACTGAATTCAGACACCTTCCGATAGAGAAGAGAGAAATGGTATATTGTATCACAGAAAAATATTTAAATATTTCATAAAAGCTTCCATTTAACTTCAACTT